ACATATTAGGCATCAAGATCTATAGAGATAGATCGAGACGCCTCATTGGTCTTTCACAAAGCACATACCTTGACAAGATATTGAAGAAGTTCAATATGGATCAGTCCAAGAAGGGGTTCTTGCCTGTGTTGCAAGTGTAAAATTGAGCTCGGCTCAATGCCCAACCACGACAGAAGATAGAGAAAAGATGAGTGTCATCCCCTATGCCTCGGCTATAGGGTCTATTATGTATGCCATGCTGTGTACCAGACCTGATGTAAACCTTGCCGTAAGTTTGGTAGGAATGTACCAAAGTAATCCCAGCATGGAACACCGGACAGCGGTCAAGAATATCCTGAAGTACCTGAAAAGGACTAAGGATATGTTTCTCGTTTATGGAGGTGACGAAGAGCTCGTCGTAAAGGGTTACGTCGACGCTAGCTTCGACACAGATATGGATGACTCTAAGTCACAAACCGGATACGTGTATATTTTGAATGGTGGGGCAGTAAGCTGGTGCAGTTGCAAGCAAAGCGTTGTGGCGGGATCTACATGTGAAGCGGAATACATGGCAGCCTCGGAGGCAGCACATGAAGCAATCTAGATGAAGGAGCTCATTACCGACCTAGGAGTTATTCCCAATGCGTCGGGGGCGATGACTCTCTTTCGTGACAACACTAGAGCCATTGCCCTTGCCAAGGAGCCCAGGTTTCACAAGAAGACCAGGCACATCAAGCGTCGCTTCAGCTCCATTCGTGAAAATGTTCAAGATGGAGACATAGATATTTGCAAAGTGCATACGGATCTGAATGTCGCAGATCCATTGACTAAACCTCTTCCGCGAGCAAAACATGATCAACACCAGAACTCTATGGGTGTTCCATTCATCACAATGTAACTACATTATTGACTCTAGTGCAAGTGGGAGACTGTTGGAAATATGCCTTAGAGGCAATAATAAAATGACTATTATTATATTTCCTTGTTCATGATAATTGTCTATTGTTCATGCTATAATTGTATTAACCGGAAACAGTGATACATGTGTGAATACATAGACCACAACATGTCCCTAGTGAGCCTCTAGTTGACTAGCTCGTTGATCAACAGGTAGTCATGGTTTCCTGACTATGGACATTGGATGTCATTGATAACAGGATCACATCATTAGGAGAATGATGTGATGGACAAGACCCAATCCTAAGCATAGCACAAGATCGTGTAGTTCGTTTGCTAGAGCTTTTCTAATGTCAAGTATCATTTCCTTGGACCCTGAGATCGTGTAACTCCCGGATATCGTAGGAGTGCTTTGGGTGTACCAAACGTCACAACGTAACTGGGTGGCTATAAAGGTATACTACAGGTATCTCCGAAAGTGTCTATTGGGTTGACACGGATCGAGACTGGGATTTGTCACTCCGTATGACGGAGAGGTATCTGGGCCCACTCGGTAATGCATCATCATAATGAGCTCAATGTGACCAAGTGGTTGGTCACGGGATCATGCATTATGGAACGAGTAAAGTGACTTGCCGGAAACGAGATTGAACGAGGTATTGGGATACCGACGATGGAATCTCGGGCAAGTAACATACCGTGTGACAAAGGGAATTGTATACGGGATTACTTGAATCCTCGACATCGTGGTTCATCCGATGAGATCATCATGGAACATGTGGGAGCCAACATGGGTATCCAGATCCCGCTATTGGTTATTGGTCACAGAGCTATCTCGGTCATGTCTGCATGATTCCCGAACCCGTAGGGTCTACACACTTAAGGTTCGGTGACGCTAGGGTTATTAGGAAGACTTGTATGTGATTACCAATGTTGTTCGGAGTTCCGGATGAGATCTTGGACGTCACGAGGAGTTCCAGAATGGTCCGTAGGTGAAGATTTATATATGGAAAGTTGTAATACGGTCAACGGAAAAGTTCGGGGGCATACCGGTATTGTACCGGGGCCACCGAAAGGGTTCCGGGGGTCCACAGGGAGGGGCCACCTCTCCCGGAGGGCCTCATGGGTCGTAGAGGGAAGGGCACCAGCCCTTAAAGGGTTGGGAGTATCCCCCCCCCTTGGGCCCATGCGCCTAGGGTTGGGGGGGAAACCCTAAAGGGGGCGCCCCCCTTGCTTGGGGGGCAAGTCCCCCCCCCCCCTTGCCCCCCCTCTAGATCTCATCTAGAGGGGGTCGGCCCCCTTCCACCTCCCCCTATAAATAGAGGGGCGAGGGGAGGGCTGCAAACACACCTCCAAGGCACAGCCCCTCCCCTCCCCAACACCTCTCCTCCTCCGCAAAAGCTTGCCGAAGCCCTGCCGGAGTACTGCCTCTCCATCACCACCACGCCGTCGTGCTGCTGCTGGAGATCTCTTCCTCAACCTCTCCCTCCTCCTTGCTGGATCAAGGCGCGGGAGACGTCTCCGCTCCATACGTGTGCTGAACGCGGAGGTGCCGTCCGTTCGGCACTAGGATCATCGGTGATTTGGATCACGACGAGTACGACTCCATCAACCCCGTTCTCTTGAATGCTTCCGCACGCGATCTACAAGGGTATGTAGATGCATCTCTCTCTCTCATTGCTAGATGACTCCATAGATTGATCTTGGTCATGCGTAGAAAAATTTTATTTTCTACAATGATCACCAACATTGGATTGCATTGGTGTTATTCTGGTATTGTATACCTATGTCATTATATGCTATAGTATGATCATGCCGCTCATGGTTTGGTTTTCCTTTTCGTTTTTGCAAATATGATTGTTTTAGATCTCTATACGACAATGTTTGCGCTCTAACCCAAGCCTTCTTATCCGAAGACATGCTCTCATCCTTGCAAGAGTCCCTTTTGATCATATTCATATAGCTAGGATTTCGTTGGGGTGAGTATCCTCGATCTGTGGAGCCTTTTAAACAGTTTTCGGGGAAGCCTACAATTCTCTACGCACCCTAGAGATGTCCTTAAAAATATCACAAGTCCATGGATACCCCGGGCACCGTCTCCTTGAGTCCAACCACCTTGTCCCTTCCGGGCACCTGGGGTACACAAACCGATCGGCTATATACGTGGGAGGGCGTGGGGACTAGGGTTTCTTTTGACCCCGGTTGCCCCACGGCCCCTGAACCGTCGTATGTCTCCTCTTTCGCCGTCGTTGCCATCCGTTGACCCTACAGACCTCCTCTCGGGGACTTTTTCGACTCCCTTGGCATCCTCCTCCAGTACATCCTTGATACCATCCATGTTTTTTCTCTCAAATCGCCATGATCTTCATATCTAGATGAGATTCAGATAGGGTTTCATATCGTTGGATTTCTCGGAGTGGGTCTAGTTTTACATATGAGTGTGGCCTCGTGGATAGTCAGATGCATCTTGATTTTTTTAGATCGGCTGATAAGATGCTAAAACTAACGTTCCTTCGGGTGTCTGGTTTGTGATTTCTGCGGCGATGGTGGGTTGGACATGGACGGGTAGGAAGGTAGCCTTGTGGAAATTCAACAAGAGGCCAATAGCGTTAGCAAACGATCCAGGATTTTTCTGAGTTGTGTGGCAGTTCCATCAAAGGCGTGGGCGATGATGATTGTAACATCGGCATACTGAAGAACGGTGGGGAGGTTTTGATATAGGGGGTGGTGAAGTAGGCCGTCAATCTAGGCGCAAAAGATTAGGCGTTGCAAGATATCAAACGAGAATGAACCAAAAGGTTGGAAAGGGGGTCGCCTTGTTTGAGACCGTTTTTACAATTTATCCAGGGGGCAGAAGCACCATTTAGCACAACCACGGTTTCAATCCCTAGTTTCATCTACAGATTTGTGTTTAAGGGTTATAATCCCTGGTTTCATCTACCAATAATCAACAGAACATAAAATCAGAGATTTGTGCGATTACAAGCACATGATGTTGTGAATGTTAGATTGGCCAAAGTCCGTCATTATGTTGATTTAAAAATACAAAATATATTATCAGTAAAGAACATACTTACCGACTGTAACAACGTTATTTTTAATGGAAAATTTAGAAAAGGATAGCAGTCAACAAGGCTTATGGAAATTGAATATCTATATAAGAGCTGAGTAAAAACCTTGCAAAAACATGGTGGTATATCCACTTCTGCTCCAAAAAGGAACAACAGAATATCGGCTACAAAAAAAGATAAAATTAGTTAAGAAAATAATTCAGAAAACAGTCACAGCGATGCAATCAAAAATCCAACCGACAAACAAATACTCCCATGGTAGCATATGAGTACCATGTAGACGATCTATGTTCCAAGAGATGGTAAAGCTTTGCTTTCATAGATACACATATGTGACCTCTTCCCAAGTGGTACTAATGTTCCATGAAAAGAATAGTGACAGAAACAAATTGGACAAAAGTTATGTCAGCATGGATACGAGACTGAGTTAACAATGGAAATGGAGTTAGCAGTATGCGCAGATACAAAAATAATCCTTTAATGTCAGCAGCACAAGACAAAACTTTTAGTGCCTGGATGACAACTAGTTTGCTAATATTCTGGGTTAACAGGACAATATGTGAGATTTAGAGGTCATGGAACTAACCTTTTGAATACAAAAGTTTCTACAGAAGATAAGCTTCCTCCCCGCCCTTGATGCAAATCGATACTGAGATATAGGGCATGGTGCAGAGCAAATAATCAAATCAGCAGAACTTGGCCATTTCAACATCTTGCAGCAGCTTGCAGTTGCTGGGAGTCTTCAGGTAGGGGCATGACAGATTCTACAGCTAGGGGCATGTCACAGAGCATGAGTGAATGGATTGCATCTCTTCTGCAGATTGCAACTGGCGTCAAATACATGACCAAATAAAAGGATGATTCAGTACAGATATGCGATCTAAAATAAGAAGCAACGAGTTTGAAATAATTAAACAAATGAAAAACTGATTCAGTACAGCTATACGGTCAAAACTGGCAAGCAACGAGTGTCATATACAAACAAATAAAAGACGGATTCAGTGCAGATATACGATCTAAACCGAGAAATCAAATGGATCAAATCACTCAGTCTTAAAAAATGAAAATACAATTCAGCAGTGAAGCATTTCGCCAGGATTCAGAATCGAACTGATTGCATTGAACAGAACAGGGTATTACACAGACTACTGAACCCAAGACAGAATACAACGGCCCACGCCAAATCAGTAAATCAATCCACCACAGCACATATCACACAAAGCAAACGAGGGAGTTGCTCCACTACACGAATCTAGCCTCCGAAGCCGTAGAGGGTGCGGCCCTGGCGCTTGAGCGCGTAGACGACGTCCATGGCAGTGACGGTCTTGCGGCGGGCGTGCTCGGTGTAGGTGACGGCGTCACGGATGACGTTCTCGAGGAAGATCTTGAGGACGCCGCGGGTCTCCTCGTAGATGAGGCCGGAGATGCGCTTCACGCCGCCTCTCCTCGCCAGCCTGCGGATCGCCGGCTTGGTGATGCCCTGGATGTTGTCCCGGAGGACCTTCCGGTGGCGCTTGGCGCCGCCCTTTCCCAGCCCCTTGCCGCCCTTGCCGCGCCCGGACATCGCCGCTCCGAGAGAGTGTGATTAGGAAGAAGAGGAACTGCTTTGGCGGGAGTCAGGTGTTTGCGATGGGATTGGGGATTTGAGGGCGGGGGGGTTTATATGGGGACGATTTTGGGTGGGAAGTGCAAAATTTTGGAGGATTTGGGGCGGGAGGTGCTTTGCTGGGTCGATCCGCGAGACGGTGGAGATGGGACGGTGGATTAGAATCAGAAGAGTGAGATGAGCTGGGAGGGTGCTGGTGTGGATCCATGACGTGGCGCTGGATGTGGGGTCTGGGCGGTTGTTTTATGGAATTCCCTCCGTTCCACAATGTAGTGCGTCTGCGCTTTCTGAAAACCAAATTTGACCGTAAGTTTAACCAACAAAACCGATTGTGACGGGGACAAAAATTATATCATTGAATTCATATTGAAAATACAAATTCAGTGGTATAATTTTTGCCCCGCCGCAATCGGTCTCGACAGTTAAATTTACGGTCAAACTTGAATCTCGAAAGCGCGGGCACACTATATTATGAAACAGGAACAGAGTAAGTATATGTTTTACTTACATGAACATAGCATCTCTAGCACATCCTGTAAAATCATTTTAAGGTTCTGTGAATACAGTTTTGTGGCTATGAGTGCTTCACGGAACAGATCCCATAAACTCATACCATAATTTTGCAATACAAGTTTACGAGATATGTTTCATCGGAGCCCTCCCGATACAGCAAACCAAATTTCGTGTGCGGGAGCTGACCATCCTATATTTTTTTTGAGAAAACATCCGATATATTCATCTTTAATCGTGGTAGTAAAACGAACACCAGAAATAATAAAAAATGCATCCAGATTCATAGACCACCTACCGGCGACTACATGCACTGAAGCGAGCCAAGGGCGCGCCACTGTCATTGCCCCTCCTTTACCGGAGCCGGGCAAAATTGTTGCAGTAGACAGCTGGGAAGTCGTCGTGTTAAGACCAATGTTGGGATATCGCTTATCGTTACCGTCTCGGTCGGCTGGGAATAAGAGATTAATCGGAAATATGATGACTAATCAATTTTAATCGACCATTTTTTAAAAAAACCTCCCACTAAAATATGCCATATTCAACAACAAAAACACTAAACAGAAGTGTTACATTGACTCCTCGCCTTTGAATCCTTGTACAATAACAAACAAAACACGACACGTGTACATATTACATAACATGGTCCGCAAAAGCACAAATAAACATACTTCTTACACACATAGTGCTAGAAATAGGCCTGATTTATCGGTACATTCCCGATAAATCGTTTCTTGAAGCGATAAATCGGTCCAAACGATAAATGGTGATGATATGACATTATTGGTCACCGACCGATTTGCGATAAATCGGACTATAAATCGTTGAATTGACCGATTATTTGAACCGTGTTTAAGACCTCGTATGGGGGCCCCTCTCCCTTCTCCCCTTTCCTTCCCCTCCTTAGGCCGGCCCATATGAGGGGCGCACCAGCCCCTTGTGGCTGGTGTGTTTCCCCTCTTGGCCCATACGGCCCATATCTTTTGCCGGGGGTGCCCGGAACCCCTTTCGGTGACCCGATATGTACCAGGTACCCTCCGAACACTTTTGGTGTCCGAATATCATCGTCATATATATATCAATCTTTACCTCTCGGCCATTTCAAGACTCCTCGTCATGTCCGTGATCTTATCCGAAACTCCAAACAACATTCGGTCACCAAATCACATAACTCATATAATATTATATCATCATCTCTCCGGTCAATAACCAATTCGAGAACTATGTAGACATGACCGAGACACCTCTCTGGTCAATAACCAATAGCAGAACCTGGATGCCTATATTGGCTCCTACATATTCTACGAAGATCTTTATCGGTCAAACTGTTATGACAACATACGTAATTCCCTTTTTCCATCGGTATGTTACTTGCCCGAGATTTGATCGTCGGTATCTTCATACCTAGTTCAATCTCGTTATCGACAAGTCTATTTACTCGTTACGTAATACATCACCTCATGAATAACTCCTTAGTCGTTTACTTGCAAGCTTATGGTGTGTATTACCGAGAGGGCCCAGAGATACCTCTTCGATACTCGAAGGACAAATCCTAATCTCGATCTATACCAACTCAACAAACACCTTCAGAGATACCTGTAGAGCATCTTTATAATCACCCAGTTACATTGTGACGTTTGATAGCACACAAGGTATTCCTCCGGTATTCAGGAGTTGCATAATCTCAATGTCAAAGGAATATGTATTTGACATGAAGAAAGCAATAACAATAAAAACTGAACGATCATTATGCTAATCTAACAGATTGGTCTTGTCCATCACATCATTCTCCTAATGATGTGATCCCGTTAATGAAAACTCATGTCCATGGTTAGGAAATCTTAACCATCTTTGATCAATGAGGTAGTCTAGTAGAGGCTTACTAGGGATACGTTGTGTGTTTATGTATTCACACATGTATTAAGGTTTCTGATTAATACAATTCTAGCATGAATAATAAAGCTTTATCATGAATAAGGAAAATAAAATAACAACTTTATTATTGCCTCTAGGGCATATTTCCTTTAGTCTCTTACTTGCACTAGAGTCAATAATCTAGATTACATTGTAATGAATCTAGCACCCTGCTACTTCTTGAGCTTGCGTTGGATTTTCCCTTGAAGAGGAAAGGGTGATGCGCCAAAGTAGAGTAAGTATTTCCCTCGGTTTGAGAACCATGGTATCAATCCAGTACGAGACAAAGCCCAAGTCACCGAATACCTGCACAAACAATCAACAAACTTGCACCCAATGCGATAAAGGGGTTGTCAATCCCTTCACGGTTACTTGCAAAAGTGAGATCTGATATAGATAGATAAACGGTAAAGTAAATATTTTTGGTATTTTTGGTTTATAGATCGGGAAGTAAAAGATTGCAAAATAGCAGATCGGAAACTAGTATGATGGAAAAGAGACCCGGAGGCCATAAGTTTCACTAGTGGCTTCTCTCAAGATAGCAAATAATACAATGGGTGAACAAATTATTGTCGAGCAATTCATAGAAGAGCGCATAAGTATGATGATATCTAATGCAATGATCATGAACATAGGCATCATGTCCATGTCAAGTAGACCGAAACAATTCTACATCTACTACTATTACTCCACACATTGCCCGACTTCTGCTTGCATCTAGAGTATTAAGTTCATAAAGAACAGAGTAACACATTAAGTAAGATGACATGATGTAGAGGAATAAACTCAAGCAATATGATGAAAAACCCCGTCTTTTTATCATCGATGGCAACAATACAATATGTGCCTTGCTGCCCCCACTGTCACTAGGAAATGACATCACAAGATTGAACCCAAAGCTAAGCACTTCTCCCATTGCAAGAAAACCCAATCCAGTAGGCCAAACTAAACCGATAATTGGAATAGACTCGCAAAGATATCAAATCATGTGTATAAGAATTCAGAGAAGACTCAAATAATATTCATAGATAATCTGATCATAAATCCACAATTCATCGGATCTCGGCAAACACACCGCAAAAGAATATTACATCGAATAGATCTCCAAGAACATCGAGGAGAACATGGTATTGAGAATCAAAGAGAGGGAAGAAGCCATCTAGCTACTAGCTATGGACCCATAGGTCTGTGGTAAACTGCTCACGCTTCATCGGAAGGGCAATGGTGTTGATGTAGAAGCACTCCATGATCGAATCCCCCTCCGACAGGACGCCGGAAAAGGCCCCTAGATGGGATCTCATGGGTACAGAAGGTTGCGGCAGTGGAAAAGTGTTTTTGTGGCTCTCCCTGATGGTTTTGGGGTATAAGAGTATACATAGGAGAAAGAATTAGGTCAGGAGACCTCCGAGGGGCCCACGAGGTGGGGGCGTGCCCTACCCCCTGGGCGCGCCCTCCACCCTCGTGGCCACCTCGTTGCTTCTCCGACTTCATCTCCAAGTCTCCTGGTTTGCTTCTGGTCCAAGAAAGATCATCGTGGAAGTTTTATTCCGTTTGGACTCCGTTTTGTATTCCTTTTCTACGAAACTCTAAAACAACAAAAAACTGAAACTGGCACTGGGCTCTAGGTTAATAGGTTAGTCCCCAAAAAATATATAAAATAGCATATTAATGCATATAAAACATCCAAAATAGATAATATAATAGCATGGAACAATCAAAAAATATAGATACGTTGGAGACGTATAAAGCATCACCAAGCTTAATTCCTGCTTGTCCTCGAGTAGGTAAATGATAAAAATAATATTTTTGATGTGGAATGCTACCTAACATATTTATCCATGTAATTCTATTTATTGTGGCATGAATGTTCAGATCCGTAAGATTCAAAACAAAAGTTTAATATTGACATAAAAACAATAATACTTCAAGCATACTAACAAGGCAATTATGTCTTCTCAAAATAATATGGCCAAAGAGAGCTTATCCCTACAAAATCTGGCTATGCTCCATCTTCATCACACAAAATACTCAAATCATGGACAACCCCAATGACAAGCCAAGCAATTGTTTCACACTTTGATGTTCTCAAACCTTTTCAACTTTCAAGCAATACATGAGCGTGAGTCATGGACATAGGACTATGGTAGAAGAGAATATGGTGGTTGTGGAGAAGACAAAAAGAGGGAGATAGTCTCACATCAACTTGGCATATCAACGGGCTATGGAGATGCCCATCAATAGATATCGATGTGAGTGAGTAGGGATTGTCATGCACCGGATGCACTAGAGCTATAAGTTTATGAAAGCTCAAACAGAAACTAAGTGGGTGTGCATCCAACTTGCTTGCTCATGAATACCTAGGGCATTTGAGGAAGCCCATCGTTGGAATATACAAGCCAAGTTCTATAATGAAAAATTCCCACTAGTATATGAAAGTGACAAAATAAGAGACTCTCTATCATGAAGATCATGGTGCTACTTTGAAGCACAAGTGTGGAAAAAGGATAGTAACATTGCCCCTTATCTCTTTTTCT